TGAAGATATTGCCTTTATTACTGATGAAGTTAATTGAAAAATGTAGCCTTAAATCCACAGATAAGTGGATTTGGTATTTCTTCCCTCCAGAATAGATCTTACCAGCAGTAACTGGCACAGCTAGATAAGCCAGACCTGCTGTGTATGGGTGAGAACAGATCAGAATGCATGCTTTCTGCAAGTGAACAGACTTACCAGAAAAATCCAGAAGTGGCTGAGCTGCGGTTCCTTCTCCTAAACTCTCCTGTGGGGTTAGTCACTTCTCTTTCCATGGCAGTAAGTCAGTGTGGGAAATAGAGAAGACCGGAAATGTCAATTTAGCTGAAGTTGCCTCTGCAAAGATTCACAAAAACTGAGGAAAAAGTTTCCCACCTAACAGAATACAGTAAATATAGTAATTTATTACAGAAGTGGTGTTTCAAATAAATGGATAACTCAATAAATCTTCCTGGGCAACTTTTGAAAATACAGTTAAATCCTAAAACTTGGTAGATTTCATAAAGCCAGTTTGTTTTCTAAGTATATTATCCTACAATAAAAAATTGTTTAAGGTATGTGTGATTTGAGGCTCATTTTAATTAAAAATATACATATGTATTTGTTCATTATAAACACATGTATATATTTATGTCAATCTGGAAGGACATGCACAAAAATGTTAGCAGTTATTATTTCTAGGTGATGGAAATGTGAGTCATTTACCTTTTCTTTTATATATAGTAAGCGTGTCTTTTTACTCAACTAAAAAGTAAAATTATTTTTCTATAAATGTTATGTAGCCAAGTATTACTCTTTTATAGTCTGAATTAAACTAGTGGTTGGAAACAATGTTTTAAAACTTGTAAAAACTATTTACACGTATCTTACACTCAGAAATGCTCAAAACACAGGTATATTGGGAATACTTTTTTCTGATCATAGCTAAAATAAGATTTCTTTAACAGTGTATGACAGTACAAAATTGCGAAGTCAGAATTATTTATTATTTATTATTCTACCTTGTACATGAGATTATGACATGTACATAATATCTGCTTCTAAGATTTTGTTTCTAAGGTTAATTAAATTTATTCCAATGAATAAATGTAATGATGTTACCTAAACCAATGTTTCTTGTTATCTTTAAAAAGAAACAATTTTAAATCACCCTAACATTTTACTTTGATCATTTATAACTTGTATATGTATCTCTGTAGCATTATTTCATTAGTGACCATGTAACAATATATTCCTATATGCTCAGCTTACTAAATTTTTAGTTAAAGGGAGAAAAAGAAAGTTAGGTAATTTAATATTCAAAGGAATAATTTCTGTCTAAAGTCTTTTCCTTTATGAGCATGGAAAGTGTACCCTCTTCAATTCAGCAAAATATATTAGGTATTCACTCTGTGTATGACTTTGTTAGATCCTTTTAAGGTAAGTTCGTAAGTTATTATGAAATGTGAGCTGACATTCTTACTAATTGAAAACATCATTAAATACCGAAGCTCCTTCATTTTATATCATGAAAATAGGGGTTCTAACAATGAAGTAATTTATTAGACCTAGATCCTGTTTTGATTTTCAGAAAAAATAATTCTTTATTAAATCACTGTACTTTAACTGAAAGTTTAGTAAGGTTAGCATGTAAGGATGTATTATTACATAGTCACTGATATAATAATTGCCATATAAGAGTTTCATTGTTATATCAGCAATAAAGAGGGTTGGGAGGTTTTCATTTTTAAATTTGAAGATAAATAACATTGCCAATTTTTGTTTGGAGACCACTGATATATTTCTCATTTGAATAAATATAGATAACTTAAAAATTTAAAGAGAGAAGGTAATAACCAAGCCATTCTATACATTTCTTGGGAACACTTTTCCAAGTACAATCTTTACACATATAGAAAATTTTACTTGATAAAAATGGAATTAGATGATTACAAATAAGAAGTATTGTAGAATATAGCGTGTTATATGTTAACCATAAGTAAAAGTACATTAAAACCTTGTTATAGTTGTTCAGGGCCATATCAAGGTAGCCCTATATTGAGAAACTGATGAGATTATGTGGTACCAGTTGGGGACAGAAGGGAGGAAGTGTGGAGATCAGAAAAGGATGGTGAGGATAATTCGGAGCTATTACTAAAATATGAAGGTATTTGTAGATGCAAATGGTGTAATGTCTAAGGATCTCTTAAGGTGTCCTCATGATTAATTTATTTTTCACCTTTATCCACTTCCTGCCATTGTGGTAAAACAATAGTATTTTTCCCCTAAACAATATTCTTATCTTAGATTTTGCTATAACTTGTTATGGATAAGCTAAAATATTAGAATTTGGTTTAAAATAATCTTTACCTTTCTGTTTCTTTATTTAGGCATAATGTCCACTGCTTGGGATTTGTATGATTCTTATAATGCTATGGAGCTTTCATCTTTACCAGTGAAACAACCTACAATTGATTCAAGTAGTAAAGCAACTGTGCCTTCTAAAGATTGGGACCAAAGAGCACCAGGGAGCACTTTAGAAAAAAGTAAGATTTTACTTATTTCATTTTTTTTTTCAGTTGTGGCAAAATTGGTATGTAACATTATATTAGTTTCAAGTGTACAACATAATAATTCAATCTTTGTATACACTACAAAGTAATCACCACAGTATGTCTTGTTACTGTCTGTCCCTCTACAATTAACCCACCCTCTTCACTCATTTCACTTACCCCTAGCTTCCCCTCTGATAACCATCATGCTGTTCCCTGCATCTATGAATTTTGTTTTGTTCATGTTTTTCCATTTTCATTTATCTCAAGGTATTTTTTGATTTTCTCTTTGATTTCTTCAGTGACCCATTGGATGTTGAGTAGCATGTTGTTTAGACTCTACATGCTTGTGTTTCTAGTTTTTTTTTCTTGGATTTCTAGTCTCATACCTTTGTGGTCAGAAAAGATGTTTAATATGATTTGATCTTCTTAAGTTTATTGAGACTTGTTTTCTGGACTAACATGTGTGGTTTTATTATTATTAGATGGTGTCCTTGTGAGGGCCACTAGCATGTTTCCCTCAGCCACAGAGCCAGGTTCTCCAGGAGTGTTCCCTATGTGTGCTACATGTAGCCTCCTGTTGTGGCTGGGTTGTGATTGCTGTCGGTGCACTAGTGTGTAGGACTGGCCCCCAGTACAGCTTCCTATAAGGCCTAGTAATGACTATTGAGGACACTCTGGTGTGTTGGGCCAGCCCTGGGGTGCGAGCCATTTTTGGACATCTGCCCTGGCTGAAGTTATCTGCCAGGTGTGGCACTGTGGACAGCTGCTTTGGAGGGGCCCTGGTGCCTGCTGCGGGTGCCTGCTAGGTGTGGTGGGATGGTAGGGTGCAGGGCCTCTGGAGTGTATCTGTGTGTGAACCTAGGGCAGTGTGAGCAGTGCCAGTAAGGTGGGTGGGAAGAACCAGAAATAGTGACTGCCAGGTTAGCTAGGTAGAATGTGAGCAAAAAAACTGTTGCCTGTCAATGACTTTGTATCCAGAGAAAGTTTCAACAGATCCCTGCACCTTGGAGGCACATACCCTAAAATTAGCCCATGAATCTCTTTCATTTACACTTTTCAAACGGCTGCCTCTTCACTGGGACACAGACTGAGTGAATTTGTATGTGTACCCTTTAAGATCAGAATCTCTGTGTATTCGGTAGGAATATAGCCCTTGGCTCTACTGGACATGGGCTTGTTTTCCAGAGCAGGTCGCCTGGACTGAGGAGCCCAAAGTGGGGCGTGGACCCCTTGCTCCTCAGAGAGGACCTGAACTGCTGTGATACCCTTGCTAGCTGTGGATCACTGTGCTGAGGGTGTGGGTCTGGCCAGATGGCGTCTCTGCCTCTTCCATTTATCTCCTTGTGGCTTTTTCTTTTTATCCTTAGTTGTAGAATATCTTTTCTGCTAATCTTCAGATTGTTCTCAGAGATAGTTGCTCTATATGTAGTTGTAGTTTTGGCTCGTCCCTGGGAGTAGGGGAGACCAGGATCTTTCTACTCTTCCATCCTAATCAATTTTTAGCTATTCTAAAAGGTGTGTAGTGGTATCTCATTATTGTTTTAATTTGCCAATTCCCCAATAACATGTGATGTTGACCATCCTTTCATAGGCTTACTTTTCATCTGTATCTCTTCTTTGGTGAGGTGTCTATTTTGAATTTTTTTTCATTTATAATTGGATCTTTTTTTATTGCTGAGTTTTATGAATTCTATATGTAATTTGGTTACAAGTCCTTTATCAGATACATGTTCTACAAATATATTCTCCCAGTTGGTGACTTATTTCAGCCTTTCTTAATAATATCTTTTGTAGACCAAGAAATTTTAATTTCAATAAAGTCCAATTTAATATATTTTTCTTTTTTGTGTTATGCTTTTAGTGTTATATCTAAAAATTATTACCAAACTCAAGGGAATTTGGATTTTCTCCTATATTGTCTTCTAGAAATGTTATAGTTTTGTATTTCACATTTAGGTCTAAGGTCCATTTCAGTTAATTTTTGTGAAAGTTTAGACTAGACTAGACTAGACTTTCTGTCTAGATTAAAATTCTTTGCATATGGATGTCTCACTGTCCATTTGTTGAAAAGACTCCATTGACCTTACACCTTTGTCAAGTATCAGTTAACTATATTTGTGTGGGTGTATTTCTGGACTCTCTGTTCTGTTCCTCTGATCAATTTGTCTGTTCTTTCACCAATACCACATTGTCTTCATTAACTGTAGCTCTACAGTAATTCTTAAAATTAGGTAGTGTCAGTCCTATATTTTTCTTCATTATTGTGCTAACTATCTTGATCTTTTGCCTCAGCATGAACTTTAGAATTAGTTTGTTGATATCCACAAAATAACTTGCTGGGATTTTAACTGAGATTGCATTGAATCTACAGATCAAGCTGGGGAGAATAGGCCTCTTAACAACAGTGAGACTTCTATGCATGAAAATTTAATTGTATGAATCTTCTTTGATTTCTTTTATCAACATTTTATAGTTTTCCTCATATAGATCCTGTACATATTTTGTTGGCTTATGCCTTAAGCATATAATTGTTTGGTTTTAATATAAGTAATATCATTGTTTTAATTTCAAATTTCAATTGTTCATTGCTGGTTTATAGGAGAGCCATTAACTTTTGTATGTTAAACTTATATCCCATGACCTTGCTGTAATTGCGTATTAGTTCTAGAACTTTTTTTTTTGACAATTCTTTGGGATTTCCTACATAGAAAATCATGTCATCTATGAATGAAATGATTTTTTTCCTTTTCAATCTGGATGATTTTTATTTCCTTTTCTTGTCTTATCCTACTGGCTAGGACTTATAGTACAATATCAAATAGAAGTGGTGAGAGTGAATATCTTAGTCTTGTTCCTGATATCAAGACTGCCATCTTAGTCTTGTCCCCTTGTTTCATGTTAGAGAGAAGGTTTTCAGTTTCTCATCATTAAGTATGATGTTAGCTGAAGCTTTTTGTAGATTTTTTTTTTATCAAATAGAGGCAGTTCTTTTCTATTCCCAGTTTACTGGGAATTTTTATCATGAAAGGATTTTAGATTTTGTTAAATAATTTTTCTGAATCTATTGATATAATCATGTGATTTTTATTCTTTAGCTTAGTGATGTGATAGATTACAATACTTGATTTTTGAATGTCGCAGTAGCCTTGCATAAATCCTACTTGGTTTTGGTATATAATTCTATTTATACATTATTGAATTAAATCTGTTAATATTTTGCTGAGGGTTATTGCGTTATTATCATGAGAGATGTTGTTCTGTAATTCTCCTTTCTTGTAATGCCTTCATTCAGTTTTGGTGTTAGAATAATGGTAGCCTAATAAAATGAGTTGGTAAGTGAATTTTTCTATTTTTTTCCTTGAAGTTCTATCAGTTTTTGCCTTATGTATTTTGTAACCTTAGTTTTGCTATATAAACATTTAGGTCTGCTGTATCCTTTTGGAGACTTGACCACTTTATCATTATGGAATGCTCCTCTGTTTTGTGCCAGTCTCAACCTTTCAACAACCAGGTTGTGGTTGAACCAGCCCTTGTGGTTCTTATTACGATTGCAAGATGGCCTTCAGCAGTAATTATCAGGGAACCTGGAAAAAAATTGTTTATTACTTATAGACCTGGAAATTATACAGTACACCTGGGACCACACAGCAAGGTATATATAGAGAGAGAGAGAGAGAGAATAGGCCTGGGGTTCTGCTTTTATTGAGGTTGAGAAAGGGTTTCTAGGCTCACTCTCTGTTGGTCAACTTAAAACATAAGAACAGGAATTTAAAGCGGGGAAAGAGGAAAAAAAAAGTAGCCCAAATGGTTAGTTATTAAAATCAACCAAGATCTTTAAAACAAAAGAACCTCGGTGAAGGGAGGCAGCCTGGCTCTTTATCTAGTGTAGCTGACAATGTGTTTACTCAGGATAGCTGTTTTTGAAGTGGATGCCTCTTTGAAATGGATACCTTGGCAATTCAAGTTTAAATTAGGCACTTGCATTGCAAAAAAAAAAAATTAACAGTAACAGCCACAGGGTTTACCACTACCCCCTCTTTATCCCTGATAATATTCCTTGCTCTACAGTCTACTTTGTCTGATATTAAATATATTTAGTTCACTTCTTTTGATTAGTGTTAAAATGGTATATCATTCTTTATTCCATTACTTTCATTCTGTCTGTGCCTTTACATTTAAGTTGGATTTCTTGTAGACAACATTATTTTAAAGTGTGGATTTTATTATTATTCTGGTGTGACAAAACCATCAGATTAGGACACAATTGCTATTGGAAATATAGCTTGTTGTACTCCCAGATCTCAAGAGGAGAGGGAATTCAATGCTCTGGGCTACACAAAGTAGCACAAGAGTTGGTCAGGAGGCAGAGGAAATAGGTAGAATATATGAACAGAAGCCTTGGTTGAGGTTTCTGTAGGAAGGAATGGGTGAGTCAGAGTTAGCCAATTTAGGATTGGCAAGTGTGAATAATTTCAGAGGGGCATAAGGGCCTCCCTAGTTTTCTGGTACCTAGTCTTGGGATAATTATGGCAGTAATAGTTACTCAATTGTTGTTTAAATTGGGTAATTTCTTTTGTTCCCTCTTTAAGTTCACTGATTCTTTCCTCTGTCCTCTTCCGTTGAGCCCACCCATGAAATTTAAAATTTTGGTTATTTCACTTTTTAATTCTAACATTTTCATTTGGTTGTTGTATGGGTTTTATTCTTTGATAGTATTTTCTAGTATTCCATTTGTTTCAAGTGTGTCCAAAAATACTTGAAATGTTTTCTTTTGATGGCTGCCTTAAACTGTCAGATAATCCAGACATCTCTGTCGTCTCAGTATTGGTATCTATTGATTTTGTTTACTTACTTTTTTTTTCACTGAAGTTGAGATTTTCTTGGTTCTTTGGATGATGAATGATCTTCAGTTGAAATTTAGAAATTTTGGGTATTATGTCATGAGAAATAGATCTTCTTTAAACCTCCCCTTTTAAGCAGGCTTTGTGTGACACTATTCTGACAGGGGAATTTACTGCTTCATTTCTTCCAGGTGGGAGTAAAAGTCCATGTTCTCCACTTGGCCTTCAATTACACTGAAGGAGGGGATCTCCTCATTACTGGTGGCCAGGGGCAGGTGGGGAGCTCTGGCTTCCATTGATACTGCACGGCTGGGAAGAGTAGGAGTGCCTCATTACCACTCCCTGACATCGTGGATTGGGACTTGGCTTTATTACTGTTGGGCAGTGCTGTAAGTTCTGACTCAGTCCAACTCTGACTGTTCTCATGGGGAGAAGAAGGGGCACCTTGTCACTGCCAGGTGGGTGTGCAATTCCATGTTTCCCAATTGGTCTCCACTGGCATTGCAGACAAGGCAGCACAGTCATTATATTTGGTAGATTCAAAGTCCTGACTCCTTACTGAGCCTCTGACACCACGCCCACTGGAGGGCCAGGAGGTTGGGGTGCCTGGTTAGAGCCTGGCAAGGATGGAAGTGTAGGCTTCTCCCTTGGCTAGTGGAATTTGTGGAATAAGTGGGGCTACAGTTTTTTCTGTGGTTTTTGTCTGGAGTAGAGTGGTTATAATCTAAAAGCTTTCTTTCTTGCAAGGCTGTTTTTTCCCTGGTCTTTTGGTTAGAGACAGGAGGTTTGCCTGGAGTATTTGCAGCAATAAGAAACCCAGGGGACTCACCACTGTGTCATTCCTTAGGTCCTGAACTCTCCTGTTGCTCTGCCTTATTCTATCAAAGAGTTTCAAAGGTTTCCTATGTTTTATATATAATGCATTAAGCAGGAGGAATAGGGAAAGATGTGTCTACTCCATATTCACAGATGCAGGATTCCCCTTCATTCTGTTTTTTACTAAGTAATGTGGTAGGCAGAATAATCATTCTCCAAATATATACACATGCCCTTCTCTGGAACCTGTAAATAAATAACCTTACATGGCAAAAGAGGTTTTTTTCAGATGTGATTACATTAAGGCTCTTCAAAGGAGGAGATTATCCTGGATTATCTAAGTGGACCCAAACTAATCACATGGGTACTTAAAATTGGAGCACTTTTTGCAGTGGTGGTCAGAGAAAAATGTAATGACAGAAATATGTTAGAGAGATGCAATGTTGCTGTTTTTTGAAGATGGAGGAAAGGTTGTTGGTGGCTTCTAGAATTTGAAAAAGCCAAGGAAATGAATTCTCCTTTAGAGCCTTCAGAAAGGAGCATAACCCTCTTAATTTATCAGTTTTACCCCAGTGAGACTTGGGTCAGACCTCTAACCTACAGAACTCTGATAAATTGGCATGGTTTTAAACTGCTAAGTTTTTGGTAATTTGTTATAGCATTAACACAAAATTAACAGTAGTGTAGTATTCCTTTAGAGCAATATCAAATCAAAACTTAATCTGAAGACTGACAATGATTTTATTTCAATTTGAATAAAAATATAGAGATACAAGTTACCTTGTGAGTTGTCATTGCTCATTTTCTGAAAAAGAGCATGTTTTTGAATGGTGAAGAATTCCAAAAAGATAACTATGTATCTATATATCTATATCTACATATCTATCTTGCAAGTGCTTGGTATATAAAAGGCATTCAATGAATGTCTGTTGAAATTGTTGAATACTGGAGAAAAACGAATAGTAATGGCAGAATGTCATTTCTTAAATCTTTAGAATGTACAAACCATCTAATATTATTTGAATTATTTCATCATTGCATTATGTTTGTTATTTCACAGTTAGTGAAGGTAGTTCTCTAATGGATATAGAAAATGTAATTCTGGCTAAAATCCACAATGATGAAGAAAACCACTCAGATGCAGTATTGAAATCTGACAAATTTCAACAGGACTTATTTTTTATGGAACGAGTTATAATGGAAAATATATTTAGGCCAAAACTTGCAGCTTATCGTCAGCTTCCTGTTTTAAAAGGTATGTACTAAAACACTTTTTTTTTAAATTGTGTTTTGAAATATTTTATACTTAAAAAGGGTATTTTAAAAATAACCACTTTTAGACAAGCTCAAATAATTTAAAAATTAGATTATGTTAGTTATTATTCCTAAATGTGATCTCCAGACTGAGTTATCACCAATCAGAGGACATGTTTATGTAGTTTTCAGCACTAAATATGTGAGTAGCAGTAGAATACAGACCAGGGAGCCCAAAGAAAGAGGCAACCTCTTAGAGTCAGAACTTTATAAGCACCTGTGGCTCTTTCCTCTCCCTTCTTCCCGCATTGAATTATTCTCTCATAATCAGCTCCACCTTTTCTATTGCCATTGACACTTTCCAGTTTCTGGCTTTTATTTCCTTTCCCTAATTTTATTTTACTGGCATTCTTCCTCTTCTTATTGCTACAAATCCCATCTCATATGTTCCCAAAATATTTTGAGGGATTTTAAAGATCATCTAATTCAACCTTTATTTTTTGAATGAATAAAACGAAGGTTATAGAAACTTTCTAAGTTTACGTAGTCTGTAACAAATCTAGGCATTCAACCTATGTATTTTGATCCTATTTCAATTTTCTTTCCACCTTACCATCCTAGCATGCTGATATATCCTAAACACAGGTTTGAACATGGCATTTAGCTGCTAGAAAACCTTCATTACCTTTCCATTGCCAAGAATAAATTACAAACATCACAGTGTATAATTTGAAGACACTTGCAATCTGGTTCCAGATTATTTTCTCTCATTATAGTATTTTGGAGACCCTAGAGGTTAACTATACTAGACTTACCTAATAATCCCCAAACAGAACCTAAACCTTCTTGCCTTAGTACCTTTAGTTGTAATATTCTTGACCATCCACCCTTGTCCCTAGCCAATCTTTGCCTACTGCATTCCCAGCTGTCAAGTATGAATTAGGGCAAACTCCCTCATGAAATTTTTATTGATCCTTCAAGTCAAAATTGATCTTCTGTATGAGTACACCAAAAAATTAGGCTACAACATTGCATATGTGACAAATAGTTATAAACCTTTTTGCTTACGTACATCTAAGAATATTGAAGAACTGTATTCCTTATCTCATGTTAGGTTGATAATTTAATTTTTTTCATCATATATATAAACTTTTCATACCATAATTAAAGAGTTATAAGGTAAAAATTTACAGAGTACTGTAAATGTTGACATTTTAAAAACAAAACTGGTGGTAGGTCATTTCTTTATATGAATCTAAGAAAAAGAAATACTATACGAAATTTTTAATGAAGTAAGATTTACACATAATGAAATGCATGTATTTAACTGTATAATTTGATACATTTTGAAAATGTATAAAATCTGTATAACTAATACTCTAAGCGAGATAGAGATAGAGACTATATCCATCAACCCCAAAAGTTCCTTTGTGCTGTTTTCCAGTTAAACCTTACACCCTTATAGATAGGCAGTAAGCTGGTTTCTTTCACCATAGATGAATTTTTTGGGTAAATCACAGAAGTGGGTTCATATAGTAAGTATTTGTTTGTGTCTGGCTTCTTACACTCAACACAATGTTTTTGAGATTCATCTAGGTTGATGTGTATATAAGTAGTTCATTTTTTTTCTGAGTAGTGTTCCAGTTTATGAAAATACCATGAATTGTGTATTCATTCATCTGTTACTGGACACTTGGACACATTTGGGCTATTATAAACAAAGCTGCTATGATCATTTTTGTGTTTCTTTTTGTGGATATGTTGCAGTTTCTCTTGGGTAATTACCTAGACATAGAATCAGAGTCTTTAGGTAGATGTATCTATAACTTTTTCAGAAACTGAAAAATACCTTCCCAAATTATTTGTACCGTCTTCCACAAGCAATACACAAGAGTTGCTCTATATTCTTGATAATGCCTGATGTTGGCAATTTTTTTAAGTTTTTGTTTTTTTGTCCTTTGTCTTCTTTTGTGTAATGTTTGGTCAAGTTCTTTGCCCATTTTAAAATTGAGTTGTCCTTTTTTAAAAACTCAAGTTGTAGGATCTTATATTTATGGATTCTGGATATAAACTCTTTGAAAGATACATACATTACAACTGTTTTCTCTAAGTCTATAGCTTGCCAATGTATTTGTCCTTTGTTGAGCAGAAGTTTTTAATTTTGATGAAGTCTTATCTATCATTTTTTTTCTTTTGTAGTAAATGCTTTCCATTCCTTTTCTAAGAAATCTTTGCCTGTGCCAAAGTTGCAAATATCCTTGGCCTGTTTCTGAACATTCAATATTTCATTGTTAAATATGATATGTATAGTTTTTTTTGTAGATACATTTTATTGGTTTGAGGAAATTTCCTTATCTTTCTAGTTTGCTAGACATTTTAAAGGATAAATGGGTGTCGAATTTTGTTCAAAACATTTCAAATGCTGCAACACTACTCAGCAATAAATATGAGTGCACTACCTACATACATATACCTTGATGGAGCTGCATGGAACTCAAAAACATTGTTGAGTGAAAGAAGTCAGACACAAAAGAATACATACCAACAGACCCATTTATGTGATATACTATCACAGACAAAACTAATCCAAGGTGATAGAAATTAAACTAGTGCCTGCCTGTGGTAGGTTACATTTGACTGGAAAGTAGCTTGAGGAAGCTTTTTTGGTTAATGGATATATTCTTCATCTTTATTAGGATGTTTGTTACATCAGTGTGTATATTTATCAAAATTCATACTGTACAGCTAAAATCTATGCATATCAATGAATGTAAAATTTTTCACAATTAAAAAATGTATTTATATTATCTGGGATTCACTTAAAGAGTGATATACCATTGTTATTTTTAAGCAGCTTTTTGAGGTGTAAGTGACAATAAACTATACATTTAAAGGATACAATTTAATAAGCCTTGATATGTCACCACAGTCAATGAATATATACGATTATATATAATGATATATATATATATATATTTATATATATATATAATGTTTTTCAGGTCTTTTATAATCCTTCCTTCTTGTTCCTCTTTGCCCCCCATCCTTAAGAAACCACTGATTTGCTTTACATCTAAATAGATTAGTTTGTATTTTCTAGAATTTTTAAATAAATGTAATCATACAGTATGCACTCTTTTTAAATCTAGCTTCTTTTCACTCAGCAAAGTTATTTTCAGCTTCACTCATGTTGTTGCATGTATCAATAGTTCATTGCTCTTCATTACTGACTAGTATTCCACTGCATGAATATCCTATACTGTGCTTATCCCTTCACCTATTGATTGATATTTGTTTCCAGTTTGGGGTCATTACAAATAAAGTTGGTATGAATATTGGTAACAAAAGACTTTGTATGAACATTTGCTTTTATTTCTCTTGAGTCATTATCTAGTTTTGGAATGGATGGACCATACGTGAGATATATATTTAACTTTTTTTTTTAAATATATGCTTCCTAAGCAGAGCTTTAGCTGAATCTCATAAGATTTGATATATTGTGTTTTCAGTTCATTAAAGCATATTTTAGAATTTCTTTTGAGACTTTGTTGACCCATGTGTTATTTATAAATGTTTTAATATCCAAATATTTTGAGATTTTCTAGCTATCTTTCTGTTATTAATTTTTAATTCCATTACAGTTATTAATTTTTAGTTCCATTACAGTTTCAGAGTATATATTATATGATTTGCATTTTTTTTTTAGATTTGTTAAGGTTGTTTTATGGTCCATAATGTGGTCTATCTTAAAAATGTGCTATGACACTTGAGAAGAATATGTATTCTGGTGTTTTTGGATGGAATGTTAGGTCAAGGTGTTTGGTAGTGATGTTTACGTCATCTGATTTTCTGCCTACTTGGTCTCTCAGTTATTGAGACAAGAGTGTTGAAATCTCTAACTATAATTGTGTATTTGTTTATTTCTCCTTTCAGATCTGTTTTTTTGTTTGTTTCTTTCTTTCTTTCTTTCATGTATTTTGAAGTTGTTAGGTACATTCACATTTTGATTTGTTATAACTTCTAGAAGAATTGACTGCTGAGTTTTCTAATTTATACAGGCAGAGATCTGAGGAATATATATGGAAATGGATATTAAGGGTGTAGGATAATGATGGAAGGAATATAAAGTAAGATCAGGTCAGATTTATTACTATGATTCCACTAAGCAGAGATTCTAGATATGGTATTGTAGTTCAAGGGATTAGACTCGAAGAGTTTGTTGGTTTTTTGGGGGCTGATAATGGACCAAAATCTAGCATTCACTAGGTGGAGTTGAAATGTCAGAACTGCCTTGGTATATACTTTATAGGGAAAGGAACATTCTAATGTTAGAGTGGATTTATCAGGATGACCTGCTTACTCACTCCAGGAGGGTCCAGATAATATGCCTTTTACTGCAATTATGAGAAATAAATTTGTGAGGGGGAATCCCAATATCCTTGAAGAGCTCTGTACCTGCACTTTTCTGTAGGTTAGAAATTACAATGGGAGCTGCTGCCACTAATCTGGGATCCTTAGAGTCACATATTTCTCATTTAGATGTGTTATTCTGGTCCGCTTACTGAGTGGCCTTTAAAGCTGCTAGCTTTGAATGGGGCCCAGAACAACAGAAGATTCTGCAAACGGTCCAGACAGCTATTTAGGGTGCCCTATTACTTGGGCCATTTGACCTGGCAGATCCAATGGTGCTTGAACTGTCAGTGGTAGATAGAGATGCTCTTGGAGACTGTGGCAGATTCCTGTAGGTACAGAGGACAATGATCTTTTAATTTGATTTAATTTTAGAACTGGAACCTGAAGAATCTGAAATCTTTTTAGAAGGTGAAAAACTTGAAGAGATAGAAGAGGAGGTTAAGAAGGAAGAGGAAGAAGAAATGGAAATAGGTTCTGAACAGTCAACAATACCAGCCAATTTGGAACGACTTTGGTCCTTTTCCTGCGACTTAACCAAAGGCCTTAATGTCAGCAGCCTTGCCTGGAATAAAACAAATCCAGTAAGTTACTGAAAATTTTAACAGTTCTGTCTCTAGCATTTAAGGGCACTTGTCAAGTACTAATGAATATTTTTTTTCTCAGATTTTAGGCAAAGGATTTAAACTTAAAGTTAACATAACCCATAGCTTTAAAATTCCTTTAAAAAGGGTAAAATTAAAAAAAGTTATAAAGTAATGTTTTTCTCCTTTACTATGAAAACATCACCATTTTTATTTTAGGAGATACACTTGGGACATGGCTTTCTCTGAATCCATGTCTGATATTGAGAAGTGAACTAGAAGATAATAGATAATGTATATTGATTTACTCTAACATGTAGCAAACTCATATACCCTAATTTGTATTCTCCTTAAAGTAACCATATTTGGAAGTATATACATAATCCAGTGACCCTGTAAATGTGCAAAATAATTTTGAGATTTCTTAAAATACTATTACTCCTACTAGCAGCAAATAGAACTTACTATGTACCACGCACTATTATAAACATTTTACTTGTATTAACACAAAAGCTTTATGAGTTAGGTACTGTTTTCCCTATTATGTTGATGAGGAAACTGAAGCACAGAAAGGATGAATAACTTGCCCAAAGTTATGCAACCAGTTAGTGAAGCAGTTAGAATTCAAACTGAGACGTCTGGCTCCAGGGTTCTTGCTCTTAACTACTGCACTGCCAGAAATCATCTTGAGACAAATTAGATGAATCATCAAGCTGGGGAGCAGTATGTTTGCTTGTGAAAAAGAGATGATTATAGAATAATGAGACTTCTTTTTTTCCTGGGGTTTATAAACTGGTTCTGAGGACATGATTCTCAGTTAGTGATTTCAAAAACTTTTTGTAGTAATGGCAGTGTCATTGGAATAAATATGTAGTGTATTTTTTAAGTGGTCAAAACTAGTTTGTTTCAACTGTCTTGTTTTATGTATGTTGAAGAATTAACTGTATTATTTTTTTGCCACACCTTATAAGGTGCTGTGTGCAAACATGATAGTTGTTATGGCTATTAAAAATCCTATAATCATTTTTGTTGAAACCTAAATAACACATTACTTAAATTATGCATATTATTTTGAATAAAATAAAATACTTTCAGCACGGATTTGTCTTTATAAAACTATATTTGGAAACGTCTTATAGATAAGCGAAATTTAAAAAATCAGTAATGACCATATAATAAAGACAGATGAATCATTTTATGAAACTGAATATACTAGCATTTAAAAAATTAATATATTGCTATTGAGGATAAGATTAAGTAATTTTAAATGAAGCTAAGAAAAGTATGACAAATGGCATCTATCATGTTTATTAATTCATTCTATAAATATTTATCGAACATTCAGTCTGTGCCAGGAACTCTGTTAAAGCATTAGAGATACAGTTGTAATTTAGTCACACATGGACCCTGACCATATAATAGCTTCCTGTGTGCTTCAATAAGGAAAATAAATAGTGCTGTGGGAAGACTTCTTAGAGGATGTGACCCTGTGCTGAGTCTAGAAGAGATGCACAGGAGTTTATCAATGTCAGGGTGAAAAGGGTAGTGGTGAAGAGTATTTTAAGGCAGAGAGAATTGCAGAGTTGATGTTGGCTTGAAGGTAGGGTGGTGGTAGGATTGTGTAATAATATTTCTGATGAAGGCATTCTGATTATAAGAAGAAGCTGGGTTTGGACAATCATTAAACTTTTGTCCACATGTACTTATACAGTTGACCTTGAACAACATGGGGATTAGAAGTGCCAACCCCCCCATGCAGTTGAAATCCCAGTATAACTTTTGACTCCCTGAAAACTTAACTACTAATGCCTACTGTTGACCAGAAGCCTTACTAATAACATAAACTGTGGATTAACACATATTTTGTGTGTTATACGTATTATGTACTATATTCTTACAAGAAGGTAAGCTAAAGGAAAGAATTGTTATTAAGAAAATCATAAGGAAGAGAAAATACGTTTACAGTACTGTGCTGTATTTATCCATACCATTAAGTTTATGTCATCTCTTTACCAGATGAATCATCTGTTGGTACCTACAACAATACTGTATGATACAAAACACTGCAGATGTTACACATATTACTAACACTAGACATCAAGATGAAAAGATAATGTGAATAATAAATTTATATTTATTTATAGGTATATAGTTATGAGTTGATAATGAAAAAGCAGAAATATGATTGCTTTATGGCAGCCTAGTATAATTGATACAATTGCTTCAGGGTGGTCTAGCCTATACTCTAATGAATGAATAGCTTTAAAATGTTTATGGCATACAGTTTTGCAGTCCTATTCATAATACAGTATTGGAAACATTGTTGTATCTTTTTAAAAAAACACTCACCTGAGATGATAGATTGATATGCAATTTCTGCAATTATGAGAGAGAGGCATACTATGTGGTAATATAGTTCTCTGAAAGCAAAATTATAAGACAGTAAGAAAACTAACACATTATTAATTTTATATTGAATATCACTTATGCCTATGTAAGGATAGATTATTATCTACATATATTTTATACATTCATGACAAACCTTTTTCTTAATTCTTTGATATTTCTAGGCTATGCAATTTGTCTGTAAATTTTTTCAAATGCTCTCAAATCTTCAAAAAAATTTTTTTAATATATTGAAAAACATCCACATATAAATGGACCTGCACAGTTCAAACCCATGTTGTTCAGGGTCAACTGTATAAGCATTTCTTGAAATGGCCTGCTGTATTAATCAGCTCGAGCTACCACAACAAAATACCACAGACTGGGTGGCTTGAGTAACAAATTTATTTCTTACAGTTCTGGAGGCTGGGACGTCCAGGGTAAATGTGCCGGCTGATTTGATTTCTGGGGAAGGCCCTCTTCCTAGTTTGCTATCTTTGCATGGGGAAGGGAAAGAGCTCTTGTGTCTTTTCTTCTTTTTGTAATGAATCCAACCCTGTGGAATTAGGATCCCACCCTCATGACCTCATTTAACCTTAATTACCCCCTAAATGCCCTATTTCTAAATATAATCATATTAGGGATTAGGACTTTGACATATGACTTTTTGAGAGAGGAGACACAATTCACCATGGCTCCTGTCTTTAAATTAAATGTCTTTTATTTTACATTTGAAATGATTAGGTCATTCTTAAAAACCCATATGACATAATACAATTTTTTCAAGATTATCTCAATATGTAGAAGAACTTGTCAGGAATTGGTTCTTTTTGAATACTTTATTCTTCAGTCTGAAAATGTGATTATTATTATTATTTTGCATAGGAAGATGGAAATGTAGAGTAAAAATAGTATATTGGCATTTTTTAATCTCAATTCAAATATCATCACTATTTTTAGCACAGTTCATTAATATGCATTTTTATACATTTGCAAATATTTTTATGCTATCCTCTCTTATTTTGAATGTATTTTTCTGGTTTTCAGGACCTTTTGGCTGTTGGCTATGGGCACTTCGGGTTTAAAGAGCAAAAAAGAGGACTGGCTTGCTGCTGGTCAATAAAGAATCCCATGGTAACTCAAACAGGATTTAATTAATTAATTAATATTGATATAATTAATTAAATGTTGATATAATTCTTATAAAGTAGATATGTGTGTGATAATTTAACAAAATCAAGAAAGTTTTATCAAGCATGACTATTTTCTTTGGTTTAAATCTGTAACAATTAAACAATTAAAATTCATTCTTATACTTTAGAATAAATTGAATTCATTCAATAAATATTTATTAAGCATCTACTATGTGCTGTTAGATATAATGATCTAGGGCTGAAATATTATTGTTTATCGCTGCTTTGTTATAAAGAAGAATGAATCTGCAAATGCAAATGCTTTAAAAATTAAGTTTAATTTTATACTAGGTTGTTTCTTAATATATAAATAACTACCACTTTATAAGATAGTTTTCTGCTATCTCAGTAGATACAAAATAGATTAGTATAACCATCTTACTGCCATGAATTTTTCAAAGAGAATAAATCATGTTTTTTTTTTTTTTGCCAAACAGCTCAGTCAATCTGTTACTTTACAGCTTTAGTTTTAATTCACAACTGAAATGTAAAGTGAAAAACTTAGAAAAGGATCAGAAGAGCATATAAAAATGATCAGAGTTTTTATAAATAACCCCCAGTCTGTTAGGAAGCAGAGTATATATAGTCTAAAAGGAAGAAGCAGTTTTAAACATGTGGAAGGATTGACATAGGGTCCATCATCAGCAGGTTGTCTTCTTTTCCATGTATGTTGTTAGAAACAAGAAAGGATTTATATTAAACATTAAAACAAGACAATGTAATAAAACTCTTGACCGAGTTGTAGGAAAGAGTACGTTAGAGAGTTCTGGCACTTCTTCTATCCTTGTTTAGAAACGATTGGATAATACGAGCATCTGAAACAGACACTGGGAGATAGGAATAGATGCAGGACAATTACTTGATGTACATTGTTTATTTCTTTATGAAGGCAGACCTGTGATGATCATACAAATCCTGCGAAACATAATAAAAAATGATAATTGCTGTAGAAGCCCATGCTGTATTTCTTAAAATTACTGAGCTCTGAGGATTCATCAAAATAAATGACCAATTGGTTTTTTGTTCTCATCTACACTTGAAGTTAGGAAGAGAGGAGTAATTAATGTAGACTAAGTCTTCTCAGATCACCACTGCCACGAGCCTAGTCCTCAGTCACCATCATACCCTACTTTATTGTGGTCTACAAAACCAAATTTAAAATGTAATATAATTATTTTGTTTATTCAGTGGCCAGAGCGTACTTATCAGAGTCCTTACGGAGTTACTGCTGTGGATTTTTCAATTGGAGCACCTAACCTTTTAGCAGTTGGTTATCACAATGGCACTATTGCAATTTATAATGTGCAGAGCAACAGTAATGTTCCAGTTCTGGATAGTAGGTGAGAATCCAAGAATTAGAAAGACATATAATATGTGTTTTTATAGGGAGAAGAAAAAAAATTAATGTTAGAGTGAATGTTTATGTTGTTATTGAGAGTGATACTGAGCTGGGAAGCCCCATGAAAAAGATGGCAGGACCCCTAGGCAG